AGAGAGAGAGAGAGAAACGTATTTTGTAAATAATTATACTTCAAATATGTTTCAGATGAAAAGGATAAAATGAATTCGGTATAAAATCGCAAAAAGAAGAAGAAGAAAAAAAAAGATATCAACAAGAATCTTCTTCCACTTAGACAAATATCGATGAAAGAAACAAACGCAAGAAGTACCGTGTTGCCCTTTCATTTTTCCCGTGTGCAGATGCTTCTTCTGCCTCGCCCTAGAATTCTGGAACCAAACCTGCGTAACTCTTTTGCTGAGTCCCGTCACATGGGCTATCCTCTCGAGATCTTGGCCGTCCGGGTTGCTGTCCAATTGGAAATTCGCTTGAAGAACGGAGAGTTGCTCTTCCGTGAACGTGGTTCTCACCCTCTTCGCCTTGTTACCGCTCTTGTGCCCGCTCTCGGAGTCACCGCCTTCTGCGAAAGTACCAATTAGAGGTGCTCCAACCATTTATACGCCTCTCCAGACGTCTAATCCTTGTTTTCCCCTCTTTATTTTACACGGATTTAGAGATCGATAGGTTGGATCGTAAAATAAAGGTTAAGGAAAATATTATCGAGAAGAGATAAAAGAGATTTCTTTTTCGATGAAAATAAATTAACATTCACCGTTGGATTCGGTACGAGTAAGTAATAATAATTATATTTTTGCCTCATAGTAAATTTTGGTTATTTACTTTACAAGGAATGTGCAAGATATCTGCACAGTCTCACCATCGGAAGAAGTGTTGTTGCCTTCGACGACGTCCAGGTAGTGAGCCTTACAAAGCAATCTGGCGTCCAGGAGGGCGAATTGCTCGCCTGTGGAGAGTTGACGGGAACAGGCATCACAGGCGAAACACGCCAAATGATACACCCTTTCCCTGGCCCTTCTCACCCAATCCCCCGCGCCCACGCTTCGACCACATTTCGCGCATTTAGCACCGAATGTTCTGAAAAATAAGAATTTTCGAATTGCTTTTTAATAGGATGTATTGAATTTATTTACTCAAACTTTGAATAATTAATTATCTTCAATAAGGGTAAAAATGTAAAGATTAATTGTATCAAGAATACAGTAAAGTAATTTCGAATATATATCGTCAAGGATTCATCTTCTATGTTCTCAGAGTTGTTGTTCTTTAAGAGAAACATTCTCGTTCTTTTTCCATTAATTTTATCAACCGCGGTTCGAATAGAACGACTCAGAGAATTCAAAGTTTTTCTAACCTAACGTGACTAACGACGTATTGCCATGCCGGGAAATCCGAAGCGTCGTAAAAAATTTGCAGGCACGCAGCACGCGGCCACCTGCAGCAATGGCGCCAATAAATTCAACGATGGAAGGTGAAGCGTCGAGGATTTAGCTCCTTCTGACTCTAACGAATGCACGTTAAAGAAAACGTTTCGCGTCAACTCCCTCGGGTGTTCGCGTGCACCAACGTTCAACTGTCGATAGGAACTGCACGAGAGGAAAAACGCAAATCCTCTTTATGAATTTCCTGCACACTCGACTCGACGAGTTATTAGTAACCTTGAGGGTAGACGATTCGAGCATTTGATTAGGGTTTATAGGATTTATTTCTTATTGTTGCAGAAGTGCAGATTTTTAAAATTAAATCTGTATGGAAATACATAATGAAATTGAAAGATAAAAGTAACAAACGTTTCATGTATATATCTCATACGTAGATATAGTATATGTAGAATGTATTAGAATGTATTAAGGATAAACTTCAAAAGCATATTCCTAGTATTTGTTAAACAAGTAAAAGAATTTTAATAAATATGCGTTAAAAAATCATTATTTCCAAAATTGTTTATGGGATGTTTTTATCAGTAAGACGATCGTACTACTATATAAAAATCTATCGAATTTGAATCGAACATATTCAGAAACAACATCTTACTAAAAAGAACACATAACTCAGCTCACATTTATCGATATTTGTTCTTCCTTGTTTCGATGAATATTATACATAGTCCTAAAATTTGTCCTCGACTTTTTGCACAGCCTATACACGTTCACCGAGTATAAATTATAACTCTAATTATAAATTATAATTAAAACGTCAAGGAAATAATTTGAATTTAATCGCGCGTTACAATTAGCCACGGTATCCCACTGTTCCTGGCAAAACAACAATCAACAAAACTCGAGATTATCGTACGTGGGTAAGGAAGATCGGGCAGTTCGCCAAAAATGTGCGCACGATTTCACACGGTCGAGACTCGATTATCAATGCTCGTGCGCGTTGCAATGGCCGACACGAATGCTCGGAACAGAGAATATAATTCGTACTTGGGGAGCAGAGAGAAAGAGAACGGTCTTAGATAACGCGTCGCGCACGAACGCGCGTTTACCTGGAACAAGCCTGCCTGTACCGGTCGTCCTGTGACAAATAAATGACTCCTGGATCCCGAAGCGCGAGCTCTAACCTCCAAGAGTATGTTTGCGTGTATGTAAACTCGCGCTGCCGCGCATGAACACCGAAGGAGAGGGGGGAGGAAGAGAGAAAAAGGAATAATAAACGAGAGAAGGTGAAAAAGGGAGAAACGAGAGTCGCGAGATAAGGAGGAAGCGAAGGGAATGTGGATGGGGAGGAAAATGAAAATGAGAAAGGAGTGGAATGAAAAATGGAAGGAAAAAAAAACATTATAAACACGAAATGGAATTTGTGCGAAATGAAAGAGAACGAGAAAAACAAAAGAGAATCTCTTCTATCCGAACTAAAAATAAACGTACTTCTCCATTATAAGTATTCCCCCCGATCTTCTTCACCGCGCCACTTAAACCAAACTTCCTTTCCAACGATGCTACTAAACACGAACGTTCCCCCGAAACGATGCACCAACCAAATCCTCACACCCCCGCTTCTTACTCGTTTCTTTCTTCGTTCTTACACCGAACGACCAAGTTCTAACTTACATGTCTGAAACTCTCTCGTGAAATCTCTCTGGTTGCTGTTGATCCCCACGATCTAACCGCAACGAGAAAAGGTTTCTGTGAAAAAGTCACTCTCTCTCTAGTCTTTCTCTCTCTTTCTCTTTCTCTAAGAGCCTAGCTCGGTGTAAACGGTAGCCGTGTAGCGGCAAGACACGAGCATGCTACACGACACACGCACGCTGGGCAACGATGAATGGGTCGGAGAGGTGGGTGTTACGGGTGCACCGTTGCCAGCAACACAGCCTCGTGAAGTCCTCGGCCTAACGACGAGACACCAACGACCACACGGTGGCTTCTTCACGGCCGACGTGGCGTGGTGTGGTCGGTCGGTGTGCGCCGCGGCTGGTAATTAAACAACGACTAGCCGGCCATTAGCCCATTATCATATTCATGAACACGGAAAGTGCATCCCGATTCCTCGTCCGGTTCCTCCCCGGCTACGAACCGAGACTTGGCCGTTTATACGGCCCGTGTAAGGGGTTATGCCCTCCCTCCCTCCCCGCCAACGTATCTTATGGGGCCACGCGACTATCCCGGTGGCCCCACCACCAAACCACCAGAGAAAGTGAGTAAGTACGTACAGTTTATGTACCCGGACGAGCTGCTAGATGCCACCACTATTGCTCCGTGTGTTTCGACAACCGAACGGATTAAGAGGAGGATTCGTACGCGAGAGGGAGCGGATATTCGCACGGCTATAAGGAGCTGCTTAATGGAGTTGATCGCACGGGACGTTGCGCTTCGTTATAGTTATTTATATTCCATTGTAGATTTATTATAATAATTATAATAAATGTTTTTTACGCTATCTACGATTTCGTTTGTTAACTCTGAACGATCGAATATCGATTAATTATAATTCGATCGGAAATTAGGTCATTGCGAAAAGAGTGTTGAAATTTCTTTCATTCTTCGCATTCGTTCGAATGATTGGAAAAGGATGGAACGATCGAACGAAATACGAATTACGGCCTTCTTCTTTGATTTTTCTTTGATCGATAATTAATGGGAACGATAATAGAAATGCATATTTGTAATCATAAATTTCGTGCAGAGATAGGCAACACGTAAAAAAAAAAAAAAAAAAAGAAAAAGAAAAGAAAAGAGAGAAAAAAGAAAAAGACTGCACTTTAATCCTATTCTCTCTCGGCGAATCACTAATTCATCGTGATCGCGAGACCACGACTTTCTCGTCTCGCCCACGTCAATCTCTAGGAAGGGATTTGAATTTTGAACGGTCGATTGTCTCTACTATCCCTCCTTCCTTTAGTTCTTTTATCGCGACATATGTAGATCCTGTCCTAAAAGAGGTGACGAGATAAAAATCAATCCTCGAGAGGATGAACTCAAACATCACACTCATTGTTTTCAATCGCAATTCCATCAATCCGTGTTTTAAATTAAATTGAATCGCGAAGAATTGTCGAGTTGAAATTCCTTCCTTGTCTTTTTTATTTATACATATAATTACAAGAGAAGAGAGGGATTAATTTGAAAAATCGATCCTCGCGCGAGCGAAAGACTTTCAAACAAGATTAGAACAGTTGGAAGTATATGGAATCGAAATGCGAACCGTCCAAATGGCGTATTTAATTAGGTCGCATTGTATCAACTCCTCTCCTCGATCACGAATCGGTATAAAAGATTCGGTGTCCTCGATTCTCCGGCCCAGAGCTTGTTCGTGGCATATATCCATATAGTTTCCGATCATTTATCACGACGAGCCGAGCGTAAATCGAAATAGGCAGCGCGGCCTCCTCCCTCCTCCCCGAGTCGACGTTGTCGACGTGTCTACGGGGTCGTGGATCCTGTCGACCGGGTCATCGTAAGCCGGCATTACGAGGCGAAAAACGGTCGGTCGAGAAAAATTACGCGGCAGATTCCTCGGGACCTCCCGCATACACGCCACTTTGACCCTCGAAAAGACGGACACGCCACGAAAATATCCACCGACACCGCCTTTGCGAGGAATGCCGACCCTTACTCTCGTTAAACTCGTTCCTTTCGACTCTGATAAGCGACACGATTGACGACGATATTTTTGGATAAATTTTGTTCTCCGGCATAAAATGCGTTTTATGATTTTCTGGAGTAAGTAAGTTGAAAAGTTGTTTGATTTAATTTTTTGCAAGGAAAGATCCTGAGTTTTGGAATTTCAATTGAAAATAATTGAAAAGGTAATTGAAATTTTGAATAAAAAAATTAGCTTAAAGAATAACTTTAAACTCGGAAATGCTTGATTAACTTTGGCTATTTATCTGTGTTTTGAATGATAAATTATCGGAGCAATCGTAAACATTTTATTCACCTCTGTCTATAGAAATCTATTATCTAATATTTGTTGTAATTTGTTTCTTAAATACGGATTCAATTTCAAATAAAATTTAAAAATTTAAATTACAAATTAACTCTAATGATAATCCAGTCTTGCGAATAAATATTTTAAGTCATACGCCGATTCGATTCACGATGACAAAAATTCAATTAGATTTTCTATTTACTTACACAACGTTCGACACACGTATCGTATTGTAGCGGAATTCGATAATGGCCGGTCGAAAGCGGTTTGTTTCGAATATTTTCGTAGGGAGGAAGAAAGGCCGCAGGAGAGAGAGAGAGAGAGAGAGAGAGTCACTATCGATCGAAATGAAAGAAGCTCGAAGTGACTTGGCCGATTGTACGCGAAGGATCCGAGTCGAACACTTTCCAACGTGTTTATCCAACTGTCAATCAATGGTTGGTTCGGTCACCTGGCTGTTGCACCGGCCTGTCTAAATCACGTATATATCGCGATATCCGATCGTGACGCGCGACCAGTATCGCTGTCTATATTATCGAACGCGGAAATCAATGTAATCCGAAGAAGAAAGGAAATGCGAAGAGGGGATAAAACGAATTCAACGTAAATTCAACTTTAGAGATATTTATCTACAAGTGTTTACTACTGTACGCATTGTGATTTCTTTCGATTTTGTATCGAACGTGTTCCGATTCGCCGTAATTTAATTCAATCGATGATATTTTTCAGTAAGACGAAATTTTGTTGGATAGCTTGAACGAGAGATAATATTTTTCGGAACTAGCCTAACTTTGAACAAAATAAGAGACAGAAGTGCACGAGAATTCGAAAATTTCGATACTCGGGTCGAGTGGAGAATTGTTCGGGTTAAATCGGGTTTATTCGGGAATCGTTCGGTTCGACTCGGGTCAAGTCGGCTTTTCGAAAGTATTTCGTGGCACATTAAATATAGAAATTTCTATAAATACATCGGATATCGATTTATAATTTAACGAATAAAACTTCGCATCGCAGTTTAAAAATCTATCTGACAAATTAACGAACGTATTATCGAAGATATTTCGAACGCAAAAATTTCAAGAACACGATGCGACGAAAGATCAAGAAATTAGAAACATTCGAAAAGTAGTTCAACCACTTAATCCGCCACACAACAAAATATCTCGCGTCACTAATTTACTTATAGAAACGTTAACGTTGATTTACACGCTTATCGATCCGTAGACGAGTCATTTAAGAATCGTGTCGTGTCGTGTCGAGGGAAAATTTCTAGTTTCGTTTTCGCGGTCCGATTGAGAGGTTTCGTATTCGCAACGAATTGTTATTTATTGCATTGATAACGCAAACACGACGCTCGCACCGATCTCTCACTGTGCTTTATTATTCCACTGGTTAGATCAACCGTGCGCATTTGAATATTACACATAACAGGAACGTTTATTTTGTGCGTTATCGCGATAATTGAATCTCTTTCGATCGGTAAATTGCCGTTACAAGAAAACCTAGATCATTGACGACACGATGGCAATTATACCTGGATTTATGCCTTTATCCAAGCGAACATATTAACCTTCGATATTAAAATTCTTCGATATATTTATCTACGAATTTCTCGAATTTGAATATTCTTCGAATCCACTTCGTAAAATAACCTCTTTACTCCAGTAACAACTGTACAGATAATATCGAATTTGATAATTGCATAACAGATTTCTTTATAAAAAACTAAAGGATAATAGCTTTAAACGATGAAAAACTCGTTAAACTTACAGAGCATAATCGTGCCTGCAATAGAGCCTCATGCCCTTCAAGAAGCACGAGTGTTGATCGTGTAGCGGCCTGGCACACGCGAAGCACCTTAAGCACCTAGAGTGCCAAGTTCGACCGCCGACGCAGAGGACAGTGCGCTCGCGGACGCGCTCTCCGCATCCGCCACACTCCATCACGTTCGCCGGCATTTCCGCTCCTATCAGGCCGCCGGTAGTCTCCGGCGCGGCGAGATTCGCCCCGGTTCCGTCGCACACGCTGTCGCTCGTCATGTCTTCCACCTCTGTCTGCAATTTCATTTTTATTAATATCGCACGATAAATACGTACGTGTTCGAAATAGATATATACGTTTATTTTTTACAGACAAAAACATATTTTCCTTCGATTCTTTCCTTACATCATTAATAAAAATGAATAGGGATACTTTTGTATTATTTCACTTTCGTCCTCTTAAATCGTCAATCTTTCTTTTCAACGGCCGTTGAAAAAGTAACTAGTTAAAAATTTCGAATAAAGTTATACATCGAGTAATTACTTATTAAAACGCTTAAATAACATTTATTCTCAGCTATCATGGTCGATATATTTCTCGTATAATCTTGCCCATTTCGCATTATAATTTGCAATTATTGTTATTACATTTCGAACGACGAATTAACATCAACTATTAAATTTTGCCCATCACTGCGTCCAAGTCGCTTTAATTCAAAGTTTGCCCGCTGGAGGCGCGACGAGCGTTCCAACGGACAGCTGGTCAAGCGAATAGAGCGCGCTGCGGGGGGAATCGTTACACCGTTGCCGACATGAGCGCAGTGTGGACACGGTAGAGGTGCGATGCAGGCCTCGAGAACCCACGAAAGTCTGCGTGGCCCCCTTTTTTCTTCTCGAAAATATATACGGCCGCGTGGAGGTGTCATTGTGCACGATGTGTAGCATCGGTGTGATATATACGTGGCTGGCCCAACCCCGTGGCATCCCCTCGAACGATAGGGGGATTGGAGGGCCTCCAATGGGGACGTTTAAACGGGCAACCGTGGCGTCCAGCCAGCCTTTTCTCGAACCGTCCTCTATCATTGTGTCCACGCTCTTGTTACCACGACTCACGTGTCCACGATTCACGGCTACAAAACGATACACAACGCCTAAATGATTCCTGAACGAGCGGGGCGTGCCGCGTAAATAAACTTTGCACTTTGAGGGAAGATGGAGAGGGGATTGGGGAAGGAAAAATCGTTTGAATTCGAATTAATTTTCGGCAGACGATAATTAAAAATGAATTAATTATCCAATTAAATAGAAAAAACTGTATTATTAATTTTGATTTAATTTTGTATCATTTTCAGCGTGTCAATGATAAAATTGAGAGAGAGAGAAATGCGAGGATATTTGTAAGTAAATTTAAACGTTTTTATTTTTATTATATTATATACGCCGGCGCATAGAAAATGGAAATTTGATAATGATAAATGACGATTTCTTTTTGGCGACGAATAGAATTCGTTGTTTGAAAATGGAAAGGAAAGATTATCCGAATAGCAGCCATGGCAAACTGTATTGTAACAGATTGATTGAAACGCGCGCATCCATCAAGTGTGGCGCAGCATTCGTGACAAGAGCGTATCCGATAGTTGTTTGAATTCTGTAGTTGGGATAGGGTGGCACAATGCCGTTCGCGGAAATGTTTAACAGGGGATCGTCGACTTGGTTACCCCGATCCTTTTTTCACACAACGGCCAGAAGCTTCGAGTCGAAGTTTCAACGAGATCTGCAATGCAACATCTTAGAGAAATCGAAGAGACTTAGTTTAGGATGAATCATTCTTTTTAAAAAAATATCTATTTCGAAAATTCATAATCTACATTTTGCAAGTTAATTAACCGTTGAAAAGATGATTAGTTGAAAATTTCGAATAAAATGATTTACTTATTATAAAATATTTCCATATATTTTATATAATTCGAGCGCATATATATTCGATCATCGGTAATTTTCGAATTTGAAATTCGGGATCCACCATTTTATTCAGAAGATGTTTGAATCGCCGCGTTCACGATTCCTAGGCCTTTTCTTTTTTTTTGATATCGGAACGCATACATTAGACTAATAGCCGAAAGGAGTTTAATCCTCCGTTTTACGACCCCGCCTCGTATGCAACCGTGGCTCGTTATTGTCACATATGGTGGCATATAACTCTACCTCTGTCCGGCCTGTGAGTTGTGGGTGTGGAAGTCGCGAACGAACGAAACGCGGGTAATATTTTATCCGTGGATTTATTACGACGGAAGGAAAGGAAGGACCGAACGAGGAAGATTAATCGGGCGTTTCACGATCGAGTTTATACACGTTTTAAATACGCGAGATTTCTAACGTCGATGAAATAAACGCGGGATACGATTGATGATTGTCTCGCCGGGTTTGGGACAAATTGGTGGCAAAGCTATTGGAAAAGTTTTGAGTTTCGAAACAATACTACGATATCGAGTCAAGTATTTTTTAATTCGAATTATAAGAATCATTTGTAAAAATTATTTGTTATAAATAAACAAAAAAATTAATTTTAACACAATATAAATTATATCTGAAATGAATAATAGGTTTCGATTTTTGTTTTCCAAATGAATTTCAAATCGTATTATTCCTAACCTAAATTACTACTTCGAAATAATATCTTTTAATTCTAATTTTCCACGAACCATAAGCTTCAAGGATTATCCTTAACTTAAATTCCAATTCTCCGCATCAATCGTATTTATTTCTTAATTCCTAATCTAAATTATATTTCGATATCTTTCAATTTTCCACCAATTACGATTAATCCCAAAAAATCATTTCTTAAAACCTAACCTAAATTACTTACTTCGAAACACGAGGAAACGAGTCGAACACCTTTCGATTCCCCGCTAATCGTCCCCTCCCCCCCAACACGAATCACTCCCAAAAAATCATTTCGATACACGGTCGATACTTGCACGCAGGCCAAATACCTTACAAAATACTTCCTCTGTTAGAACGTGCGAACATTTGGTTGGTTATGGTCGGTGGTTAACCATACGTCACAACGGGCTTCCCACAATGGTATTGGGGGGAGGGGAGGGGTTACATAATGGCATTGTAACGTAATACCTGCAAGCCGTAGGTGCTGCCTCTATACCCAACACCTAACAGCTTCAGAGAACACGCGCAGTGTGTTGCGGCAGTGTGCCCATCACGGAGACGCGATCTCGTCGGCCAGCCCCATAACTTATGGTAAACCGACGTACCCTCCCATTTCTATCCAGGCCCGAAATATTCCTCGCTTTCAGGGGCGTGATTTTTTCTCCCCTCCCCCCCCCCCGGGTTTATTATGGGAATGATACCCACCAAGAATACCTTCCTCGAAGGGGATGATTCGAAGTTTTCGCATCATTTCGAAAATTCGTTTTCTTCTCTATTCTTTTTCTCTATTTATTTATTTTTTTTTTCCATTAAAATTTTCGTTCTATAATACCTTTTTCTTCTCAAATCTTTTTACTCGGACGAAAGTTGTTGCGATTTTCGAAGTTTCGAAAATTCTCAATTTATTTTTTTAAAATTCGTTCTATATTTCCGACTCTTCGTCAAATTCGTCGAACGAAAGTTGTTACTCCGAATGGATCATCATTGTTGGCGACGAGTTACGTTATTCGTTCGTAAGTAAAAATCTAAATTTATCTCTGCCTTATTTTATGCATCGTTACACAGATGTATAATTGTTCATTGCGCGAAACACGCCACTTTTCTCGTCCACTCCAACTGTTTCAGAAAAAAAAAAAACAGAAAACGTCCCAATAGAGACCACTACTATCGCTCTCTCCAGATATCTACCCATCTCTCTTCCACCCCATAATCCGATCTACAGACTTAACCGAAGAATAATCCCGCTTCGGTTCGCCTTATTGCCTTATTTACACAAAGGTGGATCGCAGAGACCTCGCTCTCTCTCTCTCCCTCCCTCTCGTGCGCGTTTGTACACGCCTCTATTGAGAACGGCCATGAGGCCCCTCCATTCTCGGCCTTCTCTCGAGTGGTTTCGCTTTCGGTCCCCTTGTCGACGGCGCGCACCACCACCGGGGTATGACTTTCAAACATTGAAAGGCTGTCGACGGGAGGTCCTTTGGGGGTCCTGTAAGCTTTTCTACGGCATCCGCGGCTCCGTGTCACTTTCGGTGCGCGACACCATTGAAACCGATACTCGTCCGCTTCCCTTCGGCCGTCGAGGTTGCCCGTCGGAGGTAATAACGATGATACCCATCGGCTCTTGCCGAGCGTTCCACGTTTCCAAACGCGTCTTTTCTTTTTTTTTTGGAAAAAAGAGTGAGAGAAATTTTTAAAAACGCGCGATGAAATTTGTTAGAATTTTTCTCATTCGAATAATTATTCCACATAATTATATTTCGAATAAAATCTCTTCTCGAAATTTAGACGGATTGTAATTGTCGATCCATGAATTTTTTGGATGTCGGTTAAACGACAACAGTGAAAATTATTCGCTACGATTGATTAAATGAAATTTCTCTTATAAGAAATATGGATGACGCACGATTTCTCTGTCAACCAAATAGTTCGATAGAACAATATCGGGCAAATTATCCTCGTGTGGTTAATTAACGTTCCTTACTTGAATTTCTCACCTGTAAGGATATGCAAGTAATTCGTGTAACACGTTAAAAGCTATATCGATAGTCACACGTGCCACGTATATAAATATGCAGATACACGACCCAGATCGGTTCAACTCGCTACTTTTAATCTTGTTCGTAATCCTTACGACTTGATTTCTCACGTTTCCTTATTTAATTCCTCTATTCGCGCGAATAGATCGTTCCGTTTTTATTTAAATGCGTTTCACCAATAACCTAACTTTCTTCTCTCGATAGGTGAGCACGAATCTAACCTCTTGCTCGATCAACAAAATTTATTAAATTTCAAGCAATTTCCTCGATCTTTTATATACTTCTATTGAAAATCCTTCTTT